TTCCAGTTAACTTCTTCTCTTCCTCATACCTGTTGATAAAGGTGTAAGCTCTCAGCTACTGTTCCAAAGCCATTCTTGTCCACTGCCACATTACCTGTCATGATGAACTTTAAGTCCTTAATGAACTTTTCCTTTTATAAGTTGCCTTGGTCATGGTGTCTCTTCACAGCAGTAGAAAAGTGACTAAGACACCCTCTGAAACAGCAAACCCAACTAAATATATTCTTTTATAAGTTGCTTTAGCCTTTTTTTTTTGTCACAGCAATAGAAAAGTAACCAAGACACAAGGTATATTTTAGCATGATTTATAAATTAGGAATCAATCAACTATTTATTGAATGCTATCTGCTTTTGATAGTTTCATAAGAACCATGGAGGAATCAGAACAAGTATAGCAATAAGGGGTAACCAGTCCTATTACAGATTAATACTATTACATTTGGAATCTTTTAGCAAACAGGTAAAATGTTATATATTTAGCATATTATATTGTTGTATAATAATCCTCTTTGTTATATAATACATAAACATGTACAATCCCTCAGTTCACAAAGAAGAAAGAAAACAATAGGACTTTTTTCCTGTTTTGTCTGAGCACAAAACCTAGGCCAGGTGCTGAGCTCTTCTTATAAGCAAAGAGAGGCAGCATCATAAAGCTGGCTTATGTTTCAGCTTCATGGCCTTGCAGCCTCCTTTTCTGTCTTCTCTTTAGAATAACAAATATAATAATTATGGGGAAAGGAGGCTGATAGATTATTAAAAACATACGGAGAGAACATAGCCATTTGGTAAGACATCATGCATCCCAACACTTAAGACAGGACAAGCTCAATGGAATAACCCTTGCTTGGAATGCACTATGATCTGGGTCAATCACCAACACTGCAAGAAAGAAAAATTGACATCTAAATGCTTGAATTTGTGATTCTAAATTCAGCAGCAGAAGTTGCACTACTATTATGCAATAAATTTCTGGTATGGGTCTGAAACCAGGAGATCTTTCTAGTCCTTAGGTAAAAGACCTATAATCTGTGGGCACTAATTTTTCATGAGTCACCATTGGCAGTGGTCTTAATCTGGAAAGGCAGTCAGGGTGGTGGTGTAGCACTTTGTGTTAGGCCATATGCCAAACAGTGTTGTCTAGGAAGTAGGTTAGACATGTAGGTGTCCAGGTAGGACAGATCGGACAGGAAGAGCAGGGCAGGTGGAAAAGGTTGATCTCAGTACATACATACTTGACCATGTGTTTATATGCAGCATTTGTGTGGATCTAGGATAAGACCAGTTTTGGAATGCACCTGGTGAAGAAGCTTACGTAACAGGGATCCAGTAGGAGGAAATACCAAAACAAAGACCCAGTGGTAGAAGCCCTCAGAACAGAGATCCAGGGGGACGAAATCTCAGAAAAGGGATCCAGTGGGAGAAGCCCTCTGAACAGAGATTCAATGAGAGGAAATCTCAAAATGCTGGTTGGGATTCAGCCTTCAAGGTGAATTTGCTTAAATTCACATGCTGGGTCTGCTCCCTCCCAGCTATGTGCTTTTGAACAATACGTGATTGGACTGTCACTTTCCTTATCTGTAAAAATGGACAGGCTAGATTTCATTATGTTTATCATATCTTGTAGGTCTATATAAGCGAGTATATACCAAGTTTGTCTTTGTCCTTCTGGGATACTTCACTCAGAATGATCTTTTCTAGATCCCACCACTTGCCTGCAAATTTCATGATTTCCTCCTTTTTGATTGCTGAGTAGTATTCCATTGTGTAAAAATACCACAATTTCTGTATCCATTCCTCTGTTGATGGACATCTGGGTTGTTTCCAAGTTCTGGCTATTACAAATAAAGCTGCTACGAACATGGTTGAACAAATGTCCTTGTTGTGTACTTGAGCAAATTTTGGGTATATACCTAGGAGTGGTATAGCTGGGTCTTGAGGTAGCACAATTAAGAAAGTGGACACAGGCGAAGGTGATTAATCCTCATTTAGAAAAACAAATGGGATGTGCATTGAACGTATGACAGGAGTCTACCACAAAAGGCATCTGAAAGACTCTACCTAGCAGTGTTTCAAAGCAGACACTAAGACTCATAACCAAACCCTCGGCAGAGTGCAGGGAATCATATGAAAGAAGGGAAGTTAGTATGATATGGAAAGGATAGGAGCTCTACAAGGACCAAATATATCCAGGCACAGGGTCTTTTCTGAGACTGACTCTCAACCAAGGACCATCTATGGATATAACCTAGAACTTCGGCTCAGATGTGGCCCGTGGTAGCTCAGTAACCAAGTAGTTTTCCAAAGTAAGGAGAACACGGACTATTTCTAACAGGATCTCAAGGGCAGGCTGTTTGACCCCCCACCCCAGGGGAGGAGCAGTCTGTTAGGCTACAGAGGAGGACTTTGCAGCCAGCCCTGAAGGTACCTGATAAAACAGGGTCAGATGAAAGGGGAGGAGGTCCTCCCCTATCAGTGGACTTGGAAAGGGGCAGGGAGGAGACCAGAGAGGGAGTGCGGGGTTGGGGAGGGAATGAGGGAGCGGGACACAGAGTTAACAAAATGTAACTAAAAATAAAAATAAAATAAAATAAAATAAAATAAAGTAATAATAAAAAAAATGGACAGGCTAAAGACAGTTGTTGAAATTTGTTGTTTTTAATGTCAGTACAATGCATGGAAAGCATCGTGGGTGTTTCATGAAGTTCCTGTGAGTATTCGCTGGTATTCTTAGCATTGTTTGTGGATGGTTACAAAATGTTAGGGTAACTGAAATTTTTAGCCATTTGGAAATTACATTTATAAAAGTTTTCTTGAATTCAGGCTCTACTTTGTTTTCTACTATGGTGGGTTGAGAAATACATTTTATGTTCTTACTTGATGAAATCTGATAGGAGCAAATGGATATCAGGCTTTCCCTCTCCCATAATGGCTGGTTTTAGAACAGTAGGTTTCTATCTTCTGTCATTTGGCTATGTTCATTCATGTCATACAGTGTCATTCATAGTAATGGTTTCAGAGGAACTCAGAGGAAGTAGGGATGCTCACACCACTGTGTGAGCAGTAGAAAGGAAGAAGAAACAACAAATTGAAAGGCAACAGGAACGAAGGATAACTGATGCTGTAGCAGAAGAACAAGTCGCCATTTCAGACACAATTTGGGATTTAAAATGCAGTTCCCAGGGCTGGAGAGACAGCTTGGTTGTTAAAAGCACTTGCTGCTTTTCCAGAGGACCCAGGTTCACTTTCCAGCAAAAACATGGAGGCTTATGATCACTCCAGTTCCAGAAGACCCAGTGCCCTGTTCTGAACGCAAGTGCCAGGCACGCACATGGTACACACACAGAGCACTCAGACACAGAGAAATTTAAAATATTTAGAGCAAGAGAGCAAGCGAAAGATGCAAACAAAGCCACAGTTTTCTCCAGCATCCTTCAAGTTGGAGTTTTCCTGAACATTCCTTTCCAGCAATGAGGTTTTCATTTCATGGGTCTTTATCATGTACCCATTTTTTCTAAATCTGGTTTTGCCTATGATGAAGCCTACAAAATATCCTTTAAATAATGCACATGTTTTGTGTCTTTGCTTTTCATTCTTTGGAAGAAATTTAAACCAGTTGTATGTGTCATATGTTTATTCACCTATATCCTGCCCTTTTACTGAACAGCATTTATAATTTTTACATGCATGGTCCTTTTTGGCTATGCAGTGGCTAGGAAACTAGGCAATTCAGTGCATTTAGTATAGTGGTTATTGTTATTTTGTGTGGGTGTGTGTGTGTGTAGCCAAATACTCAGAGTCCCTTGTATTTTCTCCATCAACAACAAGCAGATAGAAAAGAACATTGCAGTAAATTTTACTTTAGAGCAAATTGTATGTAGCAGTTTTCTCTTAGAAAACTGACACCCTAGTCCTTTTTTTTTTTAATTACATAGAAATTACTGTGTTCAAATCCTGTAAATAGGGGCTGGAGAGATGCTTTAGTGGTTCCTGGGTTTAATTCCCAGCACCGACATGGCTGCATACAGCTGTCTGCAGCTCCAGTTTCAGGGTATCTGACACTCTTACACAGACACACTTGTAGGCAAAACACTAATGCACATGAAACAAAATTCTGTAAATAAAAATCAGAAAGGAAGTAAAAAAAATCAAACCAAGAAAAATTCTATCAACTATGGCAGAGAAACAGTTCATGTACTTACTAAGGAAAGTTTTTATTTATTTTTTATTTTTGTTTTTATAGATGAGTGATATTCCAGTAGGAGAAACAAGAAAGCTGTACATACCAGGACTCACCCAGAGACCAAATTCTAGGAAAATAAGAATGAAAACTTTAGTATACCAGCAATTCTCCTCACTCGTCAGAACTAATTTTTAATTTGGTGCTGCAGGTATTCTCAATAAGCTAGCAACAACCCAAATTTCCAGAGGTGGAAACATTTACACAAATTAGGCAAAATCTTCAAAGGGAAATACTATTGTCAAAATAATATTTTCAGAGAATATTTAATGACATTAGAATATGGTAAAAAATGATTAAAACAAACAAACCAACAAACGAGTGTTACCTAGCAGAGAATGAGAGAAAGAGTTGCCCATATGCATATTGATTGTTAGTGTTGTCTCTGTGTGAGCCACTACAATTTATCCTGACATATACTAAGATAAAGAAACAAGAGACAGAAGAACATGAGGGCATCGGAGTATGCAGACATTAGTCTTCAGTGCTAATGATGGCTTCCTGGAGGTCAGAGTCACTTATATTGTGTATGTGGTGATAAAGTGGCTGAGATCAGCTCAGGATAAGGTAACTCAACGCCTGTGCAGTCCACACTGAGGCATTCCCTTGTTCTCAGACTTAGAGCCTCCCATGCTCAAGCACAGATCCTGGCCTCACAGTATCAAATTATTTCAGAAGAGCTGCTAAACACAGGAAACCCACCAACAATGCTGAAACTTGGACACTTTACCTTTTTTTTTTTTTTTTTCTGTCTCTTCAGACACACTGTCAATTTCTCAGAAGAAAGACATGCCCAAGAAAAAAAATAGTACAGGCTTTGGGGTCAGGAGAGCCATGTTTAAATCAAGTTTCAGCAATCCAATAGCTGCATGTCCTTGGTGAGTCATTGAACTTGGTACACTTCAGTTTTTTCATCCTTTTATAGCATGGGCTGTCTGTCTTGGGGGGGAATCAAATGACAAAAACTAGAACTAAAACAGTTGTCTGGCACATGGTGGCATTCAGTAGATGGTCCATAAACACCAACCAGGTCATTTCTCTGGGGTTTGTGTTTGTGATGGATAGAAACAATTTAAAATGATGCCCTGATAAGACACTTTTTTTTTTGTCCCCACTACAATGGTATTGTATATTTTGTAGATAATAATCTGAATAATTTTGAAGATGACATTTTTTGAAAACCACTATGTTAGTCATGTTAAATATTTTGTTTGGTAGTTTCTACATTTGTTTATTTGCATGCTTTTATTTTTCTATCTCTTGGAAAAATAGCCTGTGCAGGTCACCAATATGAGTGGTCTGTGTTACTCTCCTACTTCTTTTGGTAAATGTGGAGGAAGAAGAAATTTTAAAATGCACAGTGAAGGCACTGTGAAGAAATAGTGCTCTTGTAGAAGACCCAAGTCCCCAGCACCCATGTCAGTATTTCACAACGACCTGTAACTCCAGCTCCTGGGGATGTGTTACTGTCTTTTGGGCTCCATGAGTACCTGGACACAGATACACACACACACACACACACACACACACACACACACACACACACACTAAAATAAACTGGATGGTGGTGGCACACGCCTTTAGTCCCAGGCTTAGGAGGCAGAGGCAGGCAAATCTCTATGAGTTTGAGGCCAGACTGGTCTACAGAGCAAGTTTCAGGATAGCCAGGGATACACAGAGAAACCATGTCTCAAAAAATAAAAAACCAAACAAACTATAATTTTAATTTTTTTTATAAACAACCTTGAAAAGCAACTCTTTCCTCTTTTTGAACGTTTTTAGACTTTTATCTTATTTAGTTTATTTACCTATGGGGTACTCACGTGGTATTTATATATTTGTATATCACTGGTCAAATTGTGTTATGGATAGCTGTCTTCTGAAGCATTTATCTTTTCTTGGAGATAAAACAGCCATTATTCTTTCTCCTAAGTTTTTGTTGTTGCTGTTATTAGTACCTTAATATTTTAACTACAATGATGTGAAACAGCATGCTGTCATGTATTTCTGTTCTTTATTTCAGGACCCATTTACCAATCTGTTTGTAGTCCTCCCTTCTTCCTCCTATCCCTACCTGTTTTACTCTCAAATACTATGAGATCTGTCTTCTTAGAGTACCATGAATGAGGTCATTTGTTTTGAAAAAGCTTTTCAGTTTGTTGTCAAACCATTTGTCCATTTTTCTTATGTTGTCTTTGTTATTGAGGTCATGTCCAAAATGGATTACCCATTCCAGGGTCCCCAAAAATACCCATAGTTCTTTTTCCTAAAAGTTTCATAGTTTCAATTCTCAGGTATTGTGGTAAGTTTGAATGTACTAATAATAAACTCAGAATTACTCATAATGCATCTGTGTCACACTAAGAAAACAAATCAAAGCACTGCCCCAAGAACCAGGATTTGACTTTTCTGCCTCACATTCCTAGTGTCTTCCATTATTCCTATCTTTCTGCTGTAGGAGTCTGAGGCTGTGCAAGGCTGTCTTTGAAACTCATCCTGTGTCAGTGTCTGACCCTGTGTGTCTGTCCCTAACAGGAGACTTGGCTTTCCCTTTTATTGAACAGCGCAGAGAGTATAATATGGAGAAGACACGAGGGACACTCTACAGAGATCTTTTACAGGATTTGACAACAAATTAAGTAACTGACTGCAAGTGACCCCTAACTGACCCAGACAGCAAACAGTATTATAAAGAAACATCATTGTTTATCAAGTTTTATCTGTATGCTGTGTTCAACAATTATGGTGGTTATTCATCTTCTAAAACCACTTTCAGCCTATATTTGCTATTTCTGGCAAATGCTTACCAGAACACACATACATTCCTCTGGTTCGGGGTGGGGGGCATGGAAGAATACATAATTTTAGATTATAGCTATGTATTATTAGCTTATGTTGTAAAAGTTGATAACATGGGAAATCCAAGGTAAGTTAGCCAGGATGTTACATTGTTTAAAGGCGGGTTAAACAAACAGGCTGAGTACACAGTAGGATAGCAGTTTTATGTGACTTCACAGTTTATTATTGACTCTGGCTGTGAAGTCCATTGTACATTCCCGTCTCTTGGAATGTAAGAGGTATTTTTTTTTATCATAATGCATTGCCACTAAAACCATTTATTGAAAATACCCTTTTCTCAATAAATACTGCTTATATCCTTTTAAAAGTCAGTTTACTGTGGATATATGGAGTTACTTCTAAGATCTCTATTCTCTTCTATTGGTCTGAATATCTGTTTTTATGTCCAAGCTGCATTGTTTTAATTGTAATTGCTTTATAGCTTATTTTTACTTTAGTTCATATAATACTTCATACTTAGTTTTTTTTTACAGGTATCTTTTGTTGCTTATTATTATTATTATTATCATCATCATCATTTTGATGTGGTTCTAGTCAATCTCCTACCTTTTTAAAGGATTTGATTGGGGGCCATTTTCACAGTGATGCAATGTTTTCTACTACATGTCCCCATGGCAATACTCATTGATAATATTGCTGCTTAGACAGTACCTTCTGAGTTTGGGCTGCAGAATTTCCTGGTATGAGGTTAACTGACTCAGTCAAATTAATGATAGTGGCTTAATTAACTTTAATCAACTGCTTACCCATCTCTAAAATACCTGCCTTGTTTTTTTTTTTAAGCTTCAGCCACTAGGCATGTGCTAATTAAGTATACACAACTTGTCAACTTACCTCTTTGTCACAGGTAAATAGATCATATTCCAGTGAGGGATAGAAATGGCTGAAAACCATTTGAGATAACAGGAATAGAGATGAAAATTAAAAAAAAAATCACCCCAGGGAATGGGAACATGTCTATCAGAGACAGCATTGTGTATCTGGGATTTAGATCCATCTTTTATAATTTTTTTTTATTTATTTGAAAAAAAACTGGGTTATAGACATTTGGAAGTATGAGGGTCAGGGCTCCAGTTTTCTTTGCCTCTCACTTTATAGGCATTATGTGAAGGAAGGTGAATTTGTGATTTACCCTTGGAGATACACTTCAGTCACAGGGCTGGAGAGACAATGTTTCATGGCCCCTGGAATAGAAATTGGCTATTTGTTGCAAATGTAAAGCTAAATATAGTACTAGAATTGAAAACAGTAAAGCTCTAGGCTTATTCTGAGCAGCCAGGTAGGGGAGCAGCTGGACTTCAGTGTCCTGGCCTGTCTGGTGGCTCCTTCCCTCTAGGTTGTACATGCAGTTAGCCACAGGAGCATGGCTAGAACAGCTCTGCAATATACATCATACTGGAAAATTGTCACACTTGGGGAGTCTCAGTAAGAGGCTGGGCCTGGAAGAGGGGTGTATGCTAACATCTGAGGGGAAGAGATATCTTAAAATTATCTGATGGATAGTTTAAGTATGCAGTTAGATGTTGTTTCTGATTCTTTTCCTTCCTTCCTGGTTTATTACTTAATAAACTTATTCACAACAGAAAATATGGTTATTCTAGATCATTCTCTGGGTCATACACATAAGTTCCCAATAGGCCTTTTTCTTGTGGCAGAGGGCAGGTTCCATCGTCAAAGATAAATAAATTTGTTACTGAGATTTTAGAGAATGAACAAAAGAAGAGAGTGAGAAAGGAAGGAAGGAAGAAAAAAAAGGTACAATGCTTTTTTGGCCCAAACTGTTACCTTGGTTTGAGGCAAACTACCTGTGAGTTAGCAAAGGATTTTAAAAACAAATCAAGTCAATCAGTTAATAGAAAGCACAAAGAGCAGAATGGAACAGGAGTTATTTTTGTGTGGCCATATCTCATGTGTTAAGAAAGGAATATACATATGTGTAGTTACTAGGCTTAAAGTACAATCAATTGAAATGCTTCACCTTCACCATGCTTTATTTTTTTCTTAAAGGTATATAGAATAAGAAGACACTCAGAACAGTTGATAAATTTCTAATAATTTCTAATAGTAACCTGTAGTGTGAGAATATAGCAGTGTTTATTTCTTCAAAGGACTCCTTGTTTCTACAGTGGAATAGGAGCTTTACTCTAGTACATGCTCCTTGTCTTCTCACTTAGGTCTCATATCATGAATTCTCTCACTGCATTCCTATACAAAAACCCACCACTCACTCTCTCTCTGTTCATTGGCAGTGTGACCTTGGCCTCACTTCAACAATGTTACCTAGACTTTGACTCTTATCTGATATTCTCAAGAGCTATACACACCTGTTGAGTTGACTCCTGTAGTGTTAGCTGTGTTTCAGGAGCTGGCTTCTTTGAAGTAATTCTCAACGATGCCAGTTTTATCTGCTACTCTATCAGTTTCTATCAGGAATCTCTGTCTTGCCCCACAATCCACTTCACCTTCTCTTTGCCTTACTACATAAACTGTGCAATATATAATAAACTATATATTTTTGGAGTCTGATGTAACTCAGTTGTAGAGCCCCTGAATAGCATAAAAGTTAGAGGGGGACACGTTTGGAAGAAAAAGAGGGTCAATGGGAAAAAGATAAAGGGGGACAAATATGTCAAAACATTATATTCATTTGTGAAACTGTCAAAAATAAAAATAATTTAAGAAAGTACAGGCTCAGTATCATTATTAATATCTTATATGCTACTCTCAGTGCTGGTTCTGTATCTTACTTGATGAACTAAGTACCATTTATATAACTAAATGAATCAGCTAATATTAATAAATGTAGAAGATTTATAGGGAAGTATTTCAGAGTTTAGATGGGTTTTCCATACTCTTATTAGTGCCCTTGCCTTGTTGTTTCTATGAATTTTATATTTAAGTTTTTTGCTATAGTAGATTACTGTTACCAGTCGTGTGAACCATCAGTTAGGCAGTTCTCTCTGTTAGGCACATTAAGTAATGAATTCCTATATTGAACTTTACAGCATGCAGTTTTCCTAAGCCTAACCATTGATGCTTCTCTAATATTTTCTGTGTAACTTCCATTGAAGGAGGGATAAATGAGAAGTCAGGAACCTCATTTCTCTCAAGATGCTAGAAAGTGCCTGCACAGTTTGCATGGCTGATACTGTATGTACCCTCCAGTGTGAATACAAGAAGTTCTGGGAATGTTCTTTTCCATCACTCACCACAGCTGTCCTATGAGAACAAGTATCATTCACTCGAGTGATTCTCTGCTTGTCACGAATTCAGCAGTCCAGCCTTTTCAACTCCTATGACTATAAACATTAAATGAGAAAAAAAAAAGCCAGTGCATAGAATACACAGAGCAGAGCCTCAAAGGAGTACCAAGGATCCCTTAATTTTGGCTGTCAATTATAGCTCTTATTTTGCATGATTCTCATGCATGTGCTTTGGGGCACTAATTTGGAGGCTTTCTCAAAGGAATACATTGATGCACAATTTTCTCCCATTCCAGTCGGAGCTGAGAAAAGAGTACCGCATTGGCACTCGGAATCATAGTAGCCTGTTATAGACTGTTCACATGTCTACTTCTTAAAATTACCCAAAGTTCCTTAAGGACAAGAATTATATGTCAAACATGTTTGAGTTCTTGGTACTTTCTACAGTGCCTGATACACATTGGACATATATGGTTCATTGACCCATAGATAATCACCTGCCTTTGCATTTACAACAGATTTTAAGTAGCACATCATACATGAGAGAAGACATACTAGAGTAGAAATGCAATGAAAAATTATAGTTACTACTGGACTGGCACACCAAGTGATAAAAAGAATGTAAAAAGACTTAAGAGTACTTCTGTCCTGTATTACTTAGTTTTGAAGGGAAATGGCATTTAATTCTGAATAAAGTCAGCTTCTGAAAACATTGCTACATGCTAACAGTAGTACAGTTTGTATCTATTTTGGTGGAGTTACTACTGCAAGATTGAAATATGATAAAGACATTCTGTTTCAGGGTAAAATTAAGTATACACAATGTACTTGGAAAAGATTGGAATGTAAAATTGCTTTAAAAAGAAAAGTGTCTTTGGAGTTTAGTAGGGTAAAGCTGTATCACAAGAGCCTAATTCTTAAAATTTTGTCTTTTAAATTTTAGGTTATAATATAATTATATCATTTCCCCTTTCCCTTTCCTCCCAAATGACTAATTTTAAGGGCTCTGTACAGCCAATGTCTTGCTATTTGGGAATAATATCTTATAATATCTGGGAAATTCTTATCTTAGCAAGGAAGCAATCATGGAACTTACCTAACCTGCATCTCACCCTACATGGAACACACACACGGGAGGGGGGAGAATACAAAGTTCCATGCATCAAAAATTACTTTTGTTGCATTTATATTTAACTTTAAAAATAATTTTCAAATTTAGCTTAAAACATATGTAAGTAGCTGAGAATATGAAATATACAAGTTTTTTTTTTCCACCAGAATGCAGTTCTTCACAGTATCTAGTTGTAAGTGAAAGGAAACCCACCATCTGAAATCTTACTTCACTTGTCAAACTAATATAGCATGCTCCAACAATACTTTCCTAGATCACAGCTGAGAAAAAGAATTTGTTCAGCTCAGTGCCCCTATGGAGTTGTCTGCTCTGTAAAGCAGAAACAGGATACCTGTAAAGTTGCCAAGGAAACATCAAGGGTCCAGGAAGAGTAGACAGGATGATTTATGAGTGCTTCCTACCTTAGCAATGAGTCTAAAAATAAACCTCCTTGCTTCGCCCTCACAAAGATAAATGCCATAGGATTTCTCAAGAGGACTGTGATACAGAAAAGCTTGAGACCCAGCACAAGGAGGGCAGGACAGCAGGGAGAGGTGCTCCTGTTGTGCTCTTAATACTAACTGAGCTGACTGGACGGAAAACTGGAAAAAATGCTATGTATTTAAAATATGCCTAGAGGGAAAAAAAGACTCTTTACAGATGTATTATGAAGATATTTTATTACCAGATATTTTTTTAGAAAGCATCTCCTCAGCTCTCAGATTTTCAGAGACTTACATCTCAGCATGCTTAGTGGCAACAGAGAGAGGAGTTGTGTTTTATTTAGGAATGGACAGGAAAGAAACTCTTGGTAAGTTTTGGATTTCCTTACCACTCATCTTGGGCATCCTGCAATTAGCCAGCATTATTATCAAATGCCCATGTCCATTTTCATTTTCATAATTACTAGGTTGGTGACTGCCTCCAGGTCCCTGCCCTGCTTGAGTTCCTGTCCTGGCTTTCTTCAGTGATGAATGGTGATAAGGAAGCATAAGCCAAATAAACCCTTTCCTCCCCAAGTTGCTTTGGTCATGTTGTTCATCACAGCTATCGTAACCCTAACTAAGACAAGCAGCAAGTAGACCTGAGGCAGGAGCTTATGCAGAGGCCATGGAGGAATGGAGCTTACTGGCTTGCTCCACACATAGCTTGCTCAGCCTGCTTTCTCATAGAACCCAGGACCAACAGCCCAGGGGTAGCACCAGCCACAATGAGCTGAGCCCTTCCCCATCAACCACTAGTTAAGAAAACACTGTAAAGGCTTGCCTGAAGCCAGATCTTATGGAAGCATTTCCTCTCTTGAGGTTCCCTCCTCTCAGATGACTTGTATCAAGTTGACTAAAACCAGCAAGTACAACTGACCCCTTGTCAACTTGACATACAAATATCACATTTCATTAGAACTTTTCCTTTCTCATTTATCCCCAAGATGGCATGTAAATAAAAACTCACAGTATAAAATGTAAATAAGTTTAAAAGTCTTACATATTTACAAATTCAAACACATGAAAAGTTCACTCTCTTTAAAAACCCAAAGTCAGTTTAAAAAGTTCACAGTTCCTCAACTGTGGGTTCCTGTAGAATCAAAATTAAATTAAATTACTTTCTTCAAGATGGAAGAATCAGGGCACAGTTTTATAATCTGAACAAAGCCAAATCAAACCCCATCTGTATAAATACCTAAATGTGCAATGTCTGGGACTCATTCAGGATCTTCGAGGCTCCTCCAAAGGGCTTTGGTCACTCCTCTAACTCCACTGTGTGCACCACACACACAGCATGTCTTCTAGGCTTCCACTGCTTCCTCTCCACCACTGCTTCTGTTCTCGATGGTCATGTCATGGTACTGGCATCTCTAAAATGCTGGCGTCTCTTTCTACAACGGGGCTGCATTTTCTCCAATATCCTGGGCTTTTTTTATGGTGATGAGTCTCAACTTCTCTCATGAAGTTGAAGTTCAAGCCTGGGCCTTCACTGCTACTGAGACTACACATTCGCCAGAGGCCTCTCATGGTCTCTCACAGTGCTAAGCCTCAGCTGCTTTCCATGACCCCTTCATGCCTTTAAAACCAGCAACACCTGGGTGACTTCTATACCTGAGTAAGTTCAGCTGCTCGAATAAGGCACGACCTTGACTGCCTCAGAGCACAGATTCTGTGTGCTGAATCTGAAATGAGAAAGCAGGGTTTCTGAATCCGAGGAAGTGCTTCCTCAAAGATTCACCTTAATCATGTTGATCTCTTCTTAATCACAGCTAATTTTTCAGCTCTAGCTGACTACCACAAAAACCAGGATATCTGGTTCTGATATCTTTTTAATTACAGATGATTTTTTTTCAGGGCCAGAAAACACATATCTTAATTCAAAGTAGCAACTGGCACTAATAGAGTCTTTACACGGCCCTCTGAAACTTCACAAAGAAAAATGACTCACTTTTCCTTAGCAGCTATCAATTAATAGCAACTCAACTAGGGTTGAAGCCTTGTGAACCCTTTCTCAGACAGGAATACTGACTGAATTGACTGGGTAGGTCTTGTGTAGGTATTTATAGCTGCTGTGAGTTCCTGAGTGTAATGGCCGTGTCCCGTCCAGAAGAAAACATTTTACAGCACTCCTCCTCATCCTTTTGTCCTTATGTTCCTTCCTCTCCTTCTTCCCTGAACTTTAAAGGTAGAATAAATGTCTGATTTAGGGGTGAACACTCAATTGTCATTTATGCTCAGCACACTGACCAGTTATACGTCTATGTGTTGCTTGCTACCTACTGCAAAAACAAGTTTCTCTGAGTAAGGTACAAATCTATGGGTACAAATATTAATATTTTAGAAGGCAATTTGACATTTCCGTTGAGCAAAACAATAGCAGTAAGAAACTAAGACCTATGCCTTCCTCAGCCATAGGCCTTTGACCTATTTATATTACTAGGCATAAATTCTTTTCTGTGTAACAGGCCTCAAATCCAAGCAGAAAATCATTGGTTATACCCCTGACAGCCTTGCCACTATTGTACTTTACCTGGCAGGTATTTTAGCGTTTAGGTTATAACTTGATACCTGCCTTTCTGAATCAGTGTACTAGTTCTTCATTTTCCTGGGGCTTTGCTATGGTTCTAGAAATTCTGGTCATCAGAAACACATGATTTTACAAGGACTAAAGATAAATGAGTTAAGTGCTAGAGAGGTGGCTCAGTAGTTAAGAGAACTCAGTGTTCTTGAAGAGAGCAGGGGTTCAGTTCCTACCGCCCAACATGTTGGCTACAACGCTAATCTGTATCTGCAGTTGTAGGGATTTTGATCCTTTCTTTGGACTCCTTCGATACTGAATACATGTAGTGCACATACATACATGCTTGCCAATCACTTATACGTACACACACACACACACACACACACACAATCTTAAGAAATACAAAGAAAGTTTTCCCGATACAGTTATGCCTTTCTCAATCCTTTCCCTTTCCTTTTTTTGTTTTTTCAGTGAGCATGTTTTTGAACACGTTAACCCCGAAGTTCTATGTGGCCCTGACAGGCACTTCCTCACTAATATCAGGACTTATTTTGGTAAGTGATGTAATTCTTCTAATTTAAAAACGTATTAACGTGTATGTTAAGGAAAAAGTCTGGGAGAGTATGTATCAGCAGCTTTCAATACTCATCTTGCATGTACATTCCTGTTGGATGGGGATTAAGAGAAGACTTGTACTTACCCAGCTTTACATGTTCTGGACATTTGAAAAACAGTTCTACAATCCTTTCTTTTGCTGAAAGAAAAAACAATTCTTACCATGTGTGAAAAGAAGAGATGTTTCTAGGCTGAATTCTAGTATCCAAACATATAAGATGTGTGGGAGCCATAGATCAGTGGTAAAGAACTTATTATCTCATATTTACAAAGCCATGGATTCAATCTCCATCACCACAGAAATCAGACAGACAGACAGAGGGATATTGCTGATGTATGAAAGTGGCTCAGTTCAACTAAGACTTTTTCATATATTTATCATAATGGATTATTGGACTTAATATCAGTAGGAATACTGCATATTGTTTTTAAATGTGTTAGTATGGATTGTGGCAGTCCTAATCTTTTTCTCCCTTCATATTCTTTTCTCTCAATGTTTACATTTGTTTTTTATTTCCTTAAAAATAGGTATTTTTTTTTTTACCTCAAATAGGCAAAACAAAAAAAAATCATCATCTTAAAACTTTATTACCTTATATTCTGTAATAGCTGTAGGTATGCGGGACACATTACCTATTATAGTTCACTTTAGTGAACATTATGGGACTGTCTAAACTCAGTGAGACCAGCCTCATATGATTGAATAATCTTTAAGGGAGAGAAATTTAATTTTTTCTGTAGGCACAATCTTGTGATTACTAATTATTGTAGAAATAGGTACAAGTAAAAAATGTACAGTTGTTATTATTAAGGAAATGAATTATCAGTAGAAAACATTTTAAGGGAAGATATGTACAAACATGTTGAGCAAAGAGCATGCATTTCCTTGGAATAATAAAAGATTTCAGTCTGAGTTTATAATGTGGAGAAAGTCAGATTCTGTAAATAGATGAAGTAAATAATGGCAGTGTGAAGAACATCCTTTTGAGATGAGAGCATATCTAGGGTCAGCTTTTTGTATTTGTTATTACATGGGTTCTGGGAAACGTGCAAAGCTGGGGTTATGGAGTCAGGCTGTGACTAAAATCAGTAGGAGTCATGATAGAAGTCTCTATAGAAAGCCCGCAGCAGAGTGCAAATATCAACCTGAGGCAAGGGGCCACATATCAACGGTCACCTATAACAGGGAGGTGTTGTAGCGTGTAGCTCACTGCCTCTTACACACCCACTGCCCACACATGCATCTCTGACACCTCAGCTCTGTTCAGGAAATTTGAGAAAAGTAAGGGCACTGTTAGAGAGAGTTCCTCATGAAGCCTCGGGTTGGTTATTAAGTCATTCTGCCCAGGGACTGTATTTTATTCCAACATCAACTTCCTCCTGATTTTTAATGTTAAAATTCTCTTGTGAAGTAACAGTGACAGTGTATGGTGTTATTTTATTATAACTTGGGCAAGAAATTGTAGCATTTCCACATTCATCTTCAGTAAGGTGACTGGAGAACTGAGGGGATTTTAATAGAACATGAAATCTGATAGTCTGAAAACCACAGTGGTGAGAGGTCACGGATTACAAGAATTTACTTTAACTGAAATCGTAAGGCAGTGCAAAACATCAGTGAAACGAGAAAATAATTAAATGAAAATATTTTTAATCTGACTAAGACAAAAATTGGTGGAGAAAAATATTTTGATACTCTCTGAATATTTTCCAATGAAGGGGACATAGAGCAGAGAAAAATGATCAAAGGACTTCATTGAACAAAACCAGAAATGGCATGCCAGGAAACGCCAGAGAAAAATTCAGCTAAATGGCAAAAGTCTGAGAATGAATCACTCCGAAAGCTTCTACTGTATTGATTAAATGGAAGATACTCATTAGGAGGGTTGCTATGTAGTGGTGGGTAAGAAATTATATTAGCTTGCCGGGAGCTCAATAGTCAGGAGAAGGCAAGACATGGGTAGTAGTGGGAAGCAGCATGGAGGGAGTTATGGCCAGCCTCCCAGTAACTGAGGAGCAATGTGAACTTCCTAGGACTCCGGGGTCATTAGGTCTAAGCTTTTATTTTTCAGGTGGGAAATTTGAGACTTCTCAAGGAAAGAAAAGGAACTCTTGGGATTCAACTCATACAATTACTTTGTGGCAAAGTAGTCATGCCTCCAATCTACATTTTCCAATTCCCACTGTAGTATTTGTAAGAAAATGCTTTCACTTGCTTCATAAATTGCTGTTAAGTACATCTGAACACATATTTTATAACACACATACTCTCTCTCTCACACACAAATGCAAATTTTTTTGGGAAGAGGGGACAGGTATTTTAAATATCTCATGGATACCATTTATACTTTAAATAATATATTTTTAAGACCTTCTTTGTGATAAATCCTTGGAATACTTTTGCGTAAACAGGAAAAACAAGCCTTGCCTAGGGGGAGGGGTGGATATGATTTATACTGTATCCACTAATTTGCTGGACTGGAGAAAGGTCAGTGTTGTCCATGCATTCTGTTCTCACAAGGCTCCGTGGAGAACCCAGCCTGCTTGCGTGATGCTGGCTATGCCTGGCACTGATCCCAGCTATTCATTTTCTCTGCTCAGCAGCACAGTTTGCTGCTGTTCTTTCTTTGCACTTCAAACCAGGCAAATCGGTAACCTGCCTGTAGGCTGCATAGTTGGCAAAGGGCAGAACAAGAGTGGAACTCAGGCTGTCTTACAGAGGCAGCGTGTCTTTCATCACTCATTTCACTGCCGTTCCAGTTAAGTTGCAGCTGCCTTTCCAGCCTGCTGCACAAAGGCAGTTCTGGATTTCGTTCTGGGAGTGCCTTGCTGTGGGTTTACAGGATATAAATTAATTACCACTGTGTAGATATTTCCTTTCTTTCTGGTAAAGCTGCTCAAGGGTTGTCACTCCTGTAACTGAGGGATGGTTGAAGAAGCCTCATCAGTAAAGGGATTTCCCTGGGCCTCGGCTACCTTTGCAGACCTGGGCTCCTATGCTTTCTCCTGTGCTTGGCAGGCAGCTGCTGAGACTGCATGGTCACTGCTGGGCTACACTGTAGAAGCAGAAACTGTTTCTGACTGATGAAATGCTTAGAGCAGAGTAACCTGTCTTGCAGAAATGTGGATGGCTTTTCTAAAAACACTGGCCTTTTCTGAGGGCATACTGATTTTGTATGCAGTACTAGCTATCTGTACCCGTAGGTCCCTGCCTTACCCATGTTTGACAGTGGTGTCTATCACATTGCCCCTGGGGACTCAGCTTTGCTAGGCTTTGAAAATGATTTCAGGGTTTAGGATTCTATGCTGCCACTTTTTTTTTCTTCTGAGTGCATTTCCAGGGGGAGTAAAGAATCATGTGCTTTGAAAAATGGCTGTGTGCATGGAATGCTTAGCAGTTTGCTTTCAGGCATTAGAGAGACAATGGCTATTCCTCTCCCCAGCAATGTTCTGGGTGCCTGCCACTAACTCTGAGAGTACAGGGCTACTCCTGGGGAAATTGGCTGTCTGAGAACCTCAAGATTCCTATGCTAGAATGAGAAATGACCATGTTATTTGATGTTTAAGAAGAGATGTAAAAACAAAAGCCTAGTATTTCCACCGTGAAGAAAAAGTCAATTAACTGAACAAATACACTTAGAAATAAAAGTTACTGTCTTACTATTGTCAGAACAAAACGACAGCCTACAGACTGGGAAAGGATCTTCACCAACCCTGTATCTGACAGAGGGCTAATATCCAGAATATATAAAGAACTCAAGAAGTTAAAAAGCAACAAATCAAGTAATCCAATTAAAAAATGGGGCACGGAGCTAAACAGAGAAGTCTCTGTAGAGGAAAACAGAATGGCAGAGAAACAACTTAAAGAAATGCTCAATGTCCTTAGCCATCAGGGAGATGCAAATCAAAACAACCCTGAGATTTCACCTTACACCCATCGGAATGGCTAAGATCAAAATCTCAAGTGACAGCACATGCTGCAGAGAATGTGGAGAAAGGGGAACCCTCCTCCACTGCTGGTGGGAATGTAATGCGTAGTACAACCACTTTGGAAATCAAGCTGGCGCTTTCTCAGACAATTAGGAATAGTGCTACCTCAAGATCCAGCTATACCACTCCTAGGCATATATCCAAAATTTGCTCAAGTACACAACAAGGACATCTGTTCAACAATGTCTGTAGCAGCTTTATTCATAATAGCCAGAACCTGGAAACAACCCAGATATTCTTCATCAGAGGAATGGATACAGAAATTGTGGTATTTTTACACAATGGAATACTACCCAGAAATTAAAAACAAGGAAATCATGAAATTTGCAGGCAAATGGTGGGATCTAGAAAAGATCATCCTGAGTAAGGTATTCCAGAAGCAGAAAGACACACACAGTATATACTCACTTATAAGTGGATACTAGGTCTAAAAGACAGGATAAACATACTAAAATCTGTACACCTAAAGAAGCTAAACAAGAAAGAAGACCCTGGGTAAGATGATCAATCCTCACTTAGAAAGACAAATGAGATGGACATTGGAAGTAGGAGAAAACAAGAAACAGGACAGGAGCCTACCACAGAGGGCCTCTGAAAGACTCTACCTAGCAGTGTATCAAAGCAGATGCTGAGACTCATAACCAAACCTTGGGCAGAGTGCAGGGAATTATATGAAAGAAGGGGAGTTAGTAAGATCTGGAGAGGACAGGAGCTCCACAAGGACCAAATATATCTGGGCACAGGGGTCTTTTCTGAGACTGATTCTCCAGCCAAGGACCATTCATGGAGACCTAGAACCCCTTGCTCAGATGTAGCCCATGGCAGCTCAGTATCCAAGTGGGTACCCTAGTAATGGGAACAGGGACTGTCCCTAACATGAACTCAGTGGCTGGCTCTTTGACCCCCCCTCCCCCCAGGGGAAAAGCAGCCTTGCTAGGCCACAGAAGAA